TGTCACAGAAGGCGATACAACACTCCTTATAACAGTATTCCATATATATCACTCAGTGTCAGCTTAATGTGGGAGGAAAGCCCGAAGTGATTCATGTCTCAGACGTTTACCACTTCGATGAAACCCAGGACCACGGGTATGGATCTGACAAACATTATCCGGGCGATCAGGAATTCCGATTCATGATCATAGGTTCCTGGCGTGCACAAGGGACGCAACTCTGCACGGCGAATTGAAGCGCCTTAGAGGATTGAACCCCCTTTCCCTGTGTTATTGAAACCAGTACCCAGTACCATGTTCCTGGTGTCGATCACTGGATTCTCTGGTCCAGACTCGATTATGTACAGACCGCCTTCATATAGCTGGAATATTGCTACTTTGCACATGTATGTCATGTTCGTGTGTTTCTGCTCCAGGCAGTGGATTTTGCGTTGTGTGCAACACTCTATCAATATTTACGATGTTACTATTTATCGGAGTATATTTTTGCACAACATTAACACATACACATGCTTTCTGTGTGAGAACCCATGCAACAATTTGCTTTATGTTACCCACAACGCATTTCTTTTATCAAATACTCGTATTCTGATCAAAAATCGAGAGCATATGCACAGATCCATTGTCTGTGGTAATACTAATGTTTGGAGACAAGCAATCACTTGGTAAAAGGAAACTGACGCAATTCAAATTATTGTTATTATTGCTGCTGTGATTATCAACAGGACATCCAGACGACAATGCTATTGTTTAAAAACAGTATGTGTAATGCCAAATTGTAAGTACCATTAAGGGCCTGTCCTCAAGAAACGTCTCTCTATTGCAGGCTTCCATTTGTTCTACCTGGGCAAGCCGGGCCAGGGTGTTCTGTATCTCCTCACCTTCGGTCTCTGTGGCATTGGCTTCCTGGTAGATCTGTTCCGCATCCCCTCCCTCGTGGAGGCAGCCAACCAGTGTCCACGGGAGCCAGAACCCTGCAAGAGCACCTGCACAGCCTACATCCTCGGCGCATCCCCCTTAGGCATCCTTGGCCTTCATCACTACTACCTGGACAGGCCCGTATGGGGGATACTGTACACCTTCACCTTCGGCCTGATGGGAGTGGGTTGGGTATATGACTGGTTCCGCATCCCCGTCCTCGTGAAACGCGCAAACGCTATCCAAGCAATGGAAGAAGACAAGGAATGGAAACACCTGGATGATGTCTATATACTGTGGTTCCCCTTCGGGTGGCTGGGTCTCCACCATTTCTACCTGAACAGACCAGGATGGGGCGCCTTGTACTTCTTTACGTTTGGAGTGTTGGGCGTTGGGTGGTTGGTGGACTTCTGTCGACTGCCGTGTTTGGTGAAGGATCACAACAAGTATTTATCTGAACGACGTCTCATCGCCAAAACTACCCAGCCATGGTCTGGTGGTCACGTCTCTGTCACCTCCACAGGGCAGACTTTTGTTACAGTATCTAACATGGCGCCCGGAAGAGTGATGACGATGCCTGCTGGTGGAGCAGCCCTGCCCCCTGGTGCAGCTCCGCCCCCTGGAACAGCCGCGCCCCCTGGTGGCATAATGCCACCTCCCTACAGCTACCAGACCATGACATCCTATCCACCTCAAGGCTATGCTGGGATGTCTGCTGGGTATCCACAAGTAGCAGGCTACCCGAACCAGGGTTTCTATCCCGATCTGCCGGACGCTAATGGTAGGTGAAGTATGAAGTAACCTAGTCGTCGAAAAAATGTCGATGCCACGTCAAATTATGTATGCTCAGACTCCAATAAATTGAAATTATTGCAATCAAGCAATAGTGGTATAGAAACATTGTTACAACGCTAATTCGTTTTTTTTCAATATATTGTTCAGATATTTGAAATGTAGAAGATAAATGTCCAACTAAGTGTTTTTTTCCAAAGATCGTAACAGCATGCATGAGACAATCAGTAAAACTTACACATGGGCCTTTTTATTATTATTAAACAAATCAGCTCTTGAAAAACAAGATGAGCTGCTCACTTTCTGAAATCACAATCCATTTTCTTCTCTAAACATTCACAACAGCCATGTTATGATAAATTTGCCACAATGCCTGAAACAAGTGGCTGTAGCAAATTTACCACTTTTACATTGTTCATGTTAGGTTTTGCTGCAGCTAAGGTAAATCAGCGACTAATACATACATAAATACATATATATTTTGGATCGTCACGTTTGCGACATGGATTAGTCAGGAGATCACTAGTATATTTCCGAAACATTTACTTTTACAATATCAGTAAACATTAAATGTTTTACAATTTGCCTCAGTTGTACAATATTCCATGGTTGACACTGTAACAGTGAAAACATAATGCGTGAAAGGTATCCAGGAGGTTTTAAATCACTGGAACGTTCTAAATACATGGATCAGAGAGATGTAACAGTGTCTTCGCATGAAGGATAAATAAGTCCATGTACTTCAGTGTTGTTTGTTGCAGCAGCGGGACAGACAACTCCTCCAATGCCGCCGTCATATGAGGAGTCGCTGACTACTACAGCTAAGCCTGGCCCACCACCCGATGTCAGCAACAATCTCCGTACAGAGAAGAAATGAGGAGAACGTTTCAATCTGAGTGCCAATAGCTGGAATACTGAACCTACCCAACAAGTTGTGATGATGAACGTGAGGGTTATATTTGAACAAAACAGTCATGGATCAACAGACCAATGAATCATAGTCTTAGAGAACAAACATCTTGGTGATTTGTGTCAAGGATATTTAAGGTTATGAATTATTATTATTTGATATTTTGGTTCAAAATCTGATGAATCATCATACCTGTATTTACGATACCTGATATGGTGTTAAGCCAGCTGTGCATCAAGAACTGTGCACAACTTGTATGTTTCAATCTGAGTGGCAGTGTTAGAGAATATTGGAACAAAACAGTCGTGAATCAACGGACCAATGAATCATTGTCTTGGATAACACACATTTTGGTAATTTGTATCAACGATGTATAAGGTGCTGTGAATTAATATTATTGGTGTCTTTGTTCCAAACCTGATGTATCATAAGGCCTGTATGTACGATACATGATATGGGTGTTAAACCAGTTATTTATCAAGAACTGTACACAACTTATATGTGTGCCTTGTCAGACAAGGCTTTGAGAGGCGGGTCCTTTCAGTGGCCCTCCATTGACGAACTCATTGTTTTCATCAAGCGGACGTCACCACTCATCAATGGTGCGTCATATTTCGAAACGTCATAATGACGTCAAGCATGACATCTCTCTATTCATTGTTTTCATTTTGTATTGCTGAAATGGATGTCTTGTAAATAAATATGAACATGTAGGTTTGTCTCAATATTATCCCACAGTATGATCGTGCCCGGAGAATATGGACAACAGGGTGAATGCTACGTGTGGTGTTAAAGGTTCATGTGAATCAGTGAGGGTTGCTATACGTCGATACAGTTAGTGGACGGCATACACGTCATATCATATAGGACTGTTGTTGCGAATTTTGTTTTTGTTGTTAGGGACCTAAAATTTGATGTTCGAGGGAAAGGTTGCTGGGGTTTATCTGCAGAAAAAAATATTTTGTCCCAATGTTCCCCCTGAAAAATATATTCGCTGAACACGCACATTTTCAAAAAAAGTATTACTTTGGCATTAGAAATAGAGAAACCGAAACCGATTATCCAACGAAATGTTTCATACTTGTTCCATGGAAATGTGAGTATCATTTTTTTTGTTTCCTCTGCTTCTGTAAATATTTAACGTCAACGCCAAAGGTCAGCCCCCCTGCTACCAGTAGGCCAGGATATATATCTACCCCTTTTAGCGAACACCTGGTGTCATCACTGATTTTCTGTGATCCATTCATATGATATTCACCGCTATGATGACTTAAGTGCCTGTTTCGGTAGGTGTTTTATCTCTGGCATTGAAGTTGTATATTTAGACGTGATACATAAACAGGTTCTTCTTCTTTGGAGTAGGGATGTGGTTAACATCTTCTGATTTCTAAGGTAAACGTCTAAGACCTGTATCACTTCGGGCTTTCCTCCCACATTTATCTGACATGCCGCGATATAACTGGAATACTGTTAAAAGCAGCAGTAAACTGAACTCACTCTCCCACTCTGATTTCTAAACCTTCACGTAAATAACTTTTGCTTTGATATTTGTGTCGGAATCCATGGTAAAATACTGAGATTATACGTGTACAGTGTTGGGAAGTTATGCCCCTTTTCCTTTAAATGTCATATGTTTGACGATTCCCATTAGCATGGGAATACGTCATGTTCCATATTGCCAGGGAGGCAATAGGCTACTCTGTTTTGCTCTACAGAAAACTATTAGCGAAATATGCATTTATTGTTGTTTTAATGAACAGAAAATCATTTTTGGTTTTTCGATTTACATGGCCAAAGAACCCTGGAGTCTATCCAACCACATGTGTATCCTGGTATTGCTTAGGGCAAAGCATGTCAAGACGCTCGGAGACCAGTGCAATCTAGAGAAATATTGACATTCCAAAACGTAACTCAAAATCAATAATTTTAGGTTTAAAGTTGCATAAAAGATAAAACACCCAGATGTAGTTATAATTGTTGTAGTGTTGTTTATTATCATCTACAAGGTATGCATACATATATAAACCTGGCAAAAGTTAAGCACTTCCCATTACATATGTTTTTTAAATACATAGGTTTGGAAAAATCGTATGACTGTGACATACTCATAGTGATATACAGAAAACGAAATCGATTAATGTTTAAATGGGTTATACTCGTTCCAAGTAAATACTTCTTTGAGTATGTTTCACATCTCTCATCTGCGTCTGTAACTCATATGCTTTCAATAACTTGCGTCCATCTAGGATAGACCTAGGTGTTTCTTATCCAGTGTGTCACAATGTTACAGATTGATTGATAGGTGACCACTGTCATAAGTTTATTTATATCGTTCAAAGTCCCATGTAGTATGTATGAAATTTCTCAGGTGTGTATTATATAGATTTCCCAGTTCAATAGTATATACCCCGTATTCTTTCAATGTCTCCTTCCATGTCACTGTAGGATGTTTCAGTTCCAAAACAATGTTCCTCACATAACGAAGTCTGACAGATGACACAGTGTTTATAAAATATAAAAATAAAAATATTGCAAGCCTGAAATTTAGATTCGGCTGAATACCATAGTATTGAAAAGATCCATGTATTTATTTATCGAATTGGCGAAAAAAAAAAGTTGCTCATGTAAATAGCAAGACACAATTCCTGACTCCAGACTCACGCTCCTGTTTTTTTCTTTGGTTTCGTCTTGTCTGGAATATAGATAGTTGTGTTCTTCAGTCTCCACTCTGTAGCATTCTTGTAGTACTCCTCAATTGTCTCCCCTGGGTAAGGGCGCCTCCGACGTTCTTGTGGTATGTGAAACTCCTCGGCTCGAAACAGATTCCAGAGCTCCTTGTATTTCACCTTCCGACCAAACACAGTGATCTGGTAGAGGAACATATCCAGAGTTCTCATCAACTCCGGTTTCACATAGTGAAAGCTTATGGTCAGCTGTGAGCAGCACTCAGGGCCCTGTGTCGAGAACAGAAATTGAAACAACTCAACTACATATGTGTTTGTTGATTTATGCATGCGGCACTATTACAGCAGCGAAAGTGGGCCATGGAAGTATGTGACACACGCCCATTGTACGATACTCCCAATCTGCCTAGTCACAGACCTGACCACCCGATCTCCCATTTCAGACTGACATGGAATCCAAACGGGAATATACAGCTTCTAAGTCGCTTTATATAAAAAACTATAAATATATAAACATTGTCTGTAGAAGTCTCGCCGTGCTGTAATTATAAAGTACAAGGAAAAACTATGCTAGAAATCTAGAAAAGCCAATACTAGAGTTTATACCCTAAATCTGAAACGCTGAGAAAATGATTGTATATATCTATATCTATATATGTAAAACGTTAGATACAAGTCACTTGAAACTAACAGACACAGTTATGCTAGTTGATATAAACAGTCAGCAACTGCAATCAATACAGGGATTTTTCATGAGGTTCTACTTCATAAATACAGGTTTTCGTTTCGTGAATGAACCCTTGACATATGAGACCTAGATACTAAGACCAAGTTCTGTCAACACCATATAATGGTATGTGTTTTGTTTTAGCCAGAGGGAATAAAGCCTTTTATGCACACCATGGAGAAAACTGTAATTCTGTTCATAGAAGCGTTACACCAAATTACCCATTCACCAAACAGGAACAGGTAAACTCAGCTTACCGAGTGGTATTTGTTGGCAGAAAACCCGGAGATAAAGTTGGCTACACCAACTTGGAATGTGTCAGGATTTGCACCATGAAAGGTCGATCTGTTGTACTTGTCTAATGAAAGATATGTAGACACCGCAACCTTGTACATGCATCGCCCGGTCTCGATGTCTTCACTTCCTCCAGCGTGGCGACATCTACCTGGCACTCTGTAACCCTGCTCCACCAGTCGACGGAGAGCTTCCCTACTGACAGCATACCCCGCACCACCACCCATGTACCCGTTAGGTGAGAAGGGTGCGAAGTGGTCGCCAACGTAGACAGGTTTGCTGGCGTTTAGATGCGCGAGAAGAAATTTGAGATTTTCCACAATGACATATGTGTCATCATCAGCCTTGAGGAACCAGTCATACTCGTCTAGTGATGTACTATACATGTGTGTGAAAGCATGGACGATTTTCTCTGTGAGAGTGCGATGGGAGTCGGGAATGGTCACTCCTAATATGTCCGGCCCTGTTTTGTTTGTTGTCATCACATACATCATCTTGTCACATCTCTTGCCCCACGTCTCATTGACGGCCTTCAATTTTGTCTCCATGTTGACCTCCCTGGCGGTGATGAAACAGGCCAGACGGACCTTCCTGGACAGAGCTTCAGCCACGGTGCTGTCCACAGCTACTGCAAGAGTGGCAACAATAGGATGTTATATGACAGTCATGCCTCAATCAATCAATCACAGAGTTCCCCACAGCTACTGCAGGAGGGGCAACAGCAGAATATTATAGTTCATTCATGCATCCGCCACGAAACTCTCCACTGCTACTGCAGGAGATGCAACAATAGGATGTTATATGACAGTCATACATCAACCACGAATCTCTTCACAGCTATTGCAGGAGGAGCAACAGCAGAATAGTATAGTTTATTCATGCATCAGCCACGAATCTCTCCACAGCTACTGTGGATCAGGAGCGGGTGCTGCCGTCAAGGTCGAAGGGTATGCGAAATTATATCTTACATTGCAAGGAATACAGAAAATGTAACCAACAAACTGTCCGACATTAGCTTGGTTTCTTTTGTATCAGAACATGACATTGTTGCTTTATATGAAACATAGTCAATAAAAAATAACTTTAGTGACATTTTGACAGAATATAAACTTTTTTGTTGGCCAGCCACAAAAAGGTCTGATACACGTGTATCAATAAAATATCACTTTAGTGACATTTTGACAGAATATAAACTTTTTTGTTGACCAGCCACAAAAAGGTCTGATACACGTGTATGTAGCCGTCCCGTGCGACAAGGATGGTATACACTTACTTGGTAGTTGTCGTTAGACCAGTCTGATACATGTGTATGTAGCCGTCCCGTGCAACATGGTTGGTATACACTTACTTGGTAGTTGTCGTTAGACCAGTCTGATACATGTGTATGTAGCCGTCCCGTGCATCATGGATGGTACATACTGACTGGCTAGTTGTCGTTAGGCCAGTCTGATACATGTGTATGTAACCGTCCCGTGCATCATGGATGGTACATACTGACCGGGTAGTTGTCGTTAGACCAGTCTGATACATGTGTATGTAGCCGTCCCGTGCAACAAGTATGGTATACACTTACTTGGTAGTTGTCGTTAGACCAGTCTGATACATGTGTATGTAGCCGTCCCGTGCATCATGGATGGTACATACTGACTGGGTAGTTGTCGTTAGACCAGTCTCATACACGTGTATGTAGCCGTCCCGTGCATCATGGATGGTACATACTGACTGGGTAGTTGTCGTTAGACCAGTCTGATACATATGTATGTAGCCGTCCCGTGCAACATGGATGGTATACACTTACATGGTAGTTGTCGTTAGACCAGTCTGATACATGTGTTTTTAGCCGTCCCGTGCATCATGGATGGTACATACTGACTGGGTAGTTGTCGTTAGACCAGTCTGATACACGTGTATGTAGCCGTCCCGTGCAACAAGGATGGTATACAGTTACTTGGTAGTTGTCGATAGACCAGTCTGATACATGTGTATGTAGCCGTCCCGTGCAACAAGGATGGTATACAGTTACTTGGTAGTTGTCGATAGACCAGTCTGATACATGTGTATGTAGCCGTCCCGTGCAAGATGGATGGTACATACTTACTTGGTAGTTGTCGTTAGACCAGTCTGATACATGTGTATGTAGCCGTCCCGTGCATCATGGATGGTACATACTTACTTGGTAGTTGTCGTTAGGCCAGTCTGATACATGTGTATGTAGCCGTCCCGTGCAACATGGGTGGTACATACTTACTGGGTAGTTGTCGTTAGGCCAGTCTGATACATGTGTATGTAGCCGTCCCGTGCAACATGGATGGTACATACTTACTGGGTAGTTGTCGTTAGGCCAGTCTGATACATGTGTATGTAGCCGTCCCGTGCATCATGGATGGTACATACTGACTGGCTAGTTGTCGTTAGACCAGTCTGATACATGTGTATGTAGCCGTCCCGTGCAACATGGATGGTATACACTTACTTGGTAGTTGTCGTTAGACCAGTCTGATACATGTGTATGTAGCCGTCCCGTGCAACATGGATGGTATACACTTACTTGGTAGTTGTCGTTAGACCAGTCTGATACATGTGTATGTAGCCGTCCCTCGCAACATGGATGGTACATACTTACTTGGTAGTTGTCGTTAGACCAGTCTCAAACATGTGTATGTAGCCGTCCCGTGCAACATGGGTGGTACATACTTACTGGGTAGTTGTCGTTAGGCCAGTCTGATACATGTGTATGTAGCCGTCCCGTGCAACATGGATGGTACATACTTACTGGGTAGTTGTCGTTAGGCCAGTCTGATAGATGTGTATGTAGCCGTCCCGTGCAACATGGGTGGTATACACTTACTTGGTAGTTGTCGTTAGACCAGTCTGATACATGTGTATGTAGCCGTCCCGTGCAACATGGATGGTACATACTTACTTGGTAGTTGTCGTTAGGCCAGTCTGTTACATGTGTGTGTAGCCGCCCCGTGCAACATGGATGGTACATACTTACTGGATAGTTGTCGTTAGACCAATCTGATACATGTGTATGTAGCCGTCCCGTGCAAGATGGATGGTACATACTTACTTGGTAGTTGTCGTTAGACCAGTCTGATACATGTGTATGTAGCCGTCCCGTGCATCATGGATGGTACATACTGACTGGCTAGTTGTCGTTAGGCCAGTCTGATACATGTGTATGTAACCGTCCCGTGCAACATGGATGGTACATACTTACTGGATAGTTGTGGTTAGACCAATCTGATACATGTGTATGTAGCCGTCCCGTGCAAGATGGATGGTACATACTTACTTGGTAGTTGTCGTTAGACCAGTCTGATACATGTGTATGTAGCCGTCCCGTGCATCATGGATGGTACATACTGACTGGCTAGTTGTCGTTAGGCCAGTCTGATACATGTGTATGTAACCGTCCCGTGCATCATGGATGGTACATACTGACCGGGTAGTTGTCGTTAGACCAGTCTGATACATGTGTATGTAGCCTTCCCGTGCAACAAGTATGGTATACACTTACTTGGTAGTTGTCGTTAGACCAGTCTGATACATGTGTATGTAGCCGTCCCGTGCAACATGGATGGTATACACTTACATGGTAGTTGTCGTTAGACCAGTCTGATACATGTGTATGTAGCCGTCCCGTGCATCATGGATGGTACATACTGACTGGGTAGTTGTCGTTAGACCAGTCTGATACACGTGTATGTAGCCGTCCCGTGCAACAAGGATGGTATACACTTACTTGGTAGTTGTCGTTAGACCAGTCTGATACATGTGTATGTAGCCGTCCCGTGCAACATGGATGGTATACACTGACTTGGTAGTTGTCGTTAGGCCAGTCTGATACATGTGTATGTAGCCGTCCCGTGCAACATGGATGGTACATACTTACTTGGTAGTTGTCGTTAGACCAGTCTGATAGATGTGTATGTAGCCGTCCCGTGCAACATGGATGGTACATACTTACTGGGTAGTTGTCGATAGACCAGTCTGATACATGTGTATGTAGCCGTCCCGTGCATCATGGATGGTACATACTGACTGGGTAGTTGTCGTTAGACCAGTCTGATACATGTGTATGTAGCCGTCCCGTGCAACATGGATGGTATACACTTACATGGTAGTTGTCGTTAGACCAGTCTGATACATGTGTTTTTAGCCGTCCCGTGCATAATGGATGGTACATACTGACTGGGTAGTTGTCGTAAGACCAGTCTGATACACGTGTATGTAGCCGTCCCGTGCAACAAGGATGGTATACAGTTACTTGGTAGTTGTCGATAGACCAGTCTGATACATGTGTATGTAGCCGTCCCGTGCAACAAGGATGGTACATACTTACTTGGTAGTTGTCGTTAGACCAGTCTGATACATGTGTATGTAGCCGTCCCGTGCATCATGGATGGTACATACTTACTTGGTAGTTGTCGTTAGACCAGTCTGATACATGTGTATGTAGCCGTCCCGTGCAACATGGGTGGTACATACTTACTGGGTAGTTGTAGTTAGGCCAGTCTGATACATGTGTATGTAGCCGTCCCGTGCAACATGGATGGTACATACTTACATGGTAGTTGTCGTTAGGCCAGTCTGATACATGTGTATGTAGCCGTCCCGTGCAACATGGATGGTACATACTTACTGGGTAGTTGTCGTTAGGCCAGTCTGATACATGTGTATGTAGCCGTCCCGTGCATCATGGATGGTACATACTGACTGGCTAGTTGTCGTTAGACCAGTCTGATACATGTGTATGTAGCCGTCCCGTGCAACATGGATGGTATACACTTACTTGGTAGTTGTCGTTAGACCAGTCTGATACATGTGTATGTAGCCGTCCCGTGCAACATGGATGGTATACACTTACTTGGTAGTTGTCGTTAGACCAGTCTGATACATGTGTATGTAGCCGTCCCTCGCAACATGGATGGTACATACTTACTTGGTAGTTGTCGTTAGACCAGTCTCAAACATGTGTATGTAGCCGTCCCGTGCAACATGGGTGGTACATACTTACTGGGTAGTTGTCGTTAGGCCAGTCTGATACATGTGTATGTAGCCGTCCCGTGCAACATGGATGGTACATACTTACTGGGTAGTTGTCGTTAGGCCAGTCTGATAGATGTGTATGTAGCCGTCCCGTGCAACATGGGTGGTATACACTTACTTGGTAGTTGTCGTTAGACCAGCCTGATACATGTGTATGTAGCCGTCCCGTGCAACATGGATGGTACATACTTACTTGGTAGTTGTCGTTAGGCCAGTCTGTTACATGTGTGTGTAGCCGCCCCGTGCAACATGGATGGTACATACTTACTGGATAGTTGTCGTTAGACCAATCTGATACATGTGTATGTAGCCGTCCCGTGCAAGATGGATGGTACATACTTACTTGGTAGTTGTCGTTAGACCAGTCTGATACATGTGTATGTAGCCGTCCCGTGCATCATGGATGGTACATACTGACTGGCTAGTTGTCGTTAGGCCAGTCTGATACATGTGTATGTAACCGTCCCGTGCAACATGGATGGTACATACTTACTGGATAGTTGTGGTTAGACCAATCTGATACATGTGTATGTAGCCGTCCCGTGCAAGATGGATGGTACATACTTACTTGGTAGTTGTCGTTAGACCAGTCTGATACATGTGTATGTAGCCGTCCCGTGCATCATGGATGGTACATACTGACTGGCTAGTTGTCGTTAGGCCAGTCTGATACATGTGTATGTAACCGTCCCGTGCATCATGGATGGTACATACTGACCGGGTAGTTGTCGTTAGACCAGTCTGATACATGTGTATGTAGCCTTCCCGTGCAACAAGTATGGTATACACTTACTTGGTAGTTGTCGTTAGACCAGTCTGATACATGTGTATGTAGCCGTCCCGTGCAACATGGATGGTATACACTTACATGGTAGTTGTCGTTAGACCAGTCTGATACATGTGTATGTAGCCGTCCCGTGCATCATGGATGGTACATACTGACTGGGTAGTTGTCGTTAGACCAGTCTGATACACGTGTATGTAGCCGTCCCGTGCAACAAGGATGGTATACACTTACTTGGTAGTTGTCGTTAGACCAGTCTGATACATGTGTATGTAGCCGTCCCGTGCAACATGGATGGTATACACTGACTTGGTAGTTGTCGTTAGGCCAGTCTGATACATGTGTATGTAGCCGTCCCGTGCAACATGGATGGTACATACTTACTTGGTAGTTGTCGTTAGACCAGTCTGATAGATGTGTATGTAGCCGTCCCGTGCAACATGGATGGTACATACTTACTGGGTAGTTGTCGATAGACCAGTCTGATACATGTGTATGTAGCCGTCCCGTGCATCATGGATGGTACATACTGACTGGGTAGTTGTCGTTAGACCAGTCTGATACATGTGTATGTAGCCGTCCCGTGCAACATGGATGGTATACACTTACATGGTAGTTGTCGTTAGACCAGTCTGATACATGTGTTTTTAGCCGTCCCGTGCATAATGGATGGTACATACTGACTGGGTAGTTGTCGTAAGACCAGTCTGATACACGTGTATGTAGCCGTCCCGTGCAACAAGGATGGTATACAGTTACTTGGTAGTTGTCGATAGACCAGTCTGATACATGTGTATGTAGCCGTCCCGTGCAACAAGGATGGTACATACTTACTTGGTAGTTGTCGTTAGACCAGTCTGATACATGTGTATGTAGCCGTCCCGTGCATCATGGATGGTACATACTTACTTGGTAGTTGTCGTTAGACCAGTCTGATACATGTGTATGTAGCCGTCCCGTGCAACATGGGTGGTACATACTTACTGGGTAGTTGTAGTTAGGCCAGTCTGATACATGTGTATGTAGCCGTCCCGTGCAACATGGATGGTACATACTTACATGGTAGTTGTCGTTAGGCCAGTCTGATACATGTGTATGTAGCCGTCCCGTGCAACATGGATGGTACATACTTACTGGGTAGTTGTCGTTAGGCCAGTCTGATACATGTGTATGTAGCCGTCCCGTGCAACATGGATGGTACATACTTACTGGGTAGTTGTCGTTAGGCCAGTCTGATACATGTGTATGTAGCCGTCCCGTGCAACATGGATGGTACATACTTACTGGGTAGTTGTCGTTAGGCCAGTCTGATACATGTGTATGTAGCCGTCCCGTGCATCATGGATGGTACATGCTTACTGGGTAGTTGTCGTTAGGCCAGTCTGATACATGTGTATGTAACCGTCCCCTGTATTCCGGTTTGGGACAGCTCACGTTATCCATACATTGTGTGATGTCGACTGCCTCTATCAAAACACAATTTCGTTCAGGTGAATGAGCATGGTTTGACAAAGGTTTGAGTCACAACACGCATTTACCTGTTCTTCATAACCCCCTCGTGTTAGTGACGACTTCACGCTCTGGTTAACCTACTTCTCACCAAATGCAGGCCACAGATTATATATCAGCGCAGGATGAGAGTCTTATCGGTTTACAGTACGGTGTGTGCTTGTTACGCTGCTGTCAGAGACATACTATGGCGGCTGTAAACAATCGAGTCTGGCCAGGTAAACTAGTGGTTGATAGCATGAGCACTTTCATTTGTTTCAGTTAGGGTACATGTATTTCCATTCCTTGTTTCTAGCTTGGATAAACCCTATCTAAAGATAAGACGTAATTCTATCCTTTCTAAAGATAAGACGTCTGTCCTTTCTGTCCATATCGCATGAATATTCCTTCTGTTTTTATATAATTAACTTCTCACAGTTCGGTGTTTGCCCTTTAAGTTTCTTCAATATTTCACTTCAAATTTATATATCATTTGAGGTATCTAGATTGATTTGCAATTCATCGATATTTTTAGTATGCCGTTTTCTTTCTGATCTGGTTTTCGCTTCCATTCGGAGGGATATTTTAAAGTTTGACCTCCTTGCATTAACAGTAGTGTTTCGAAAAAGAGTTGGTCATCTTTGCTCATGAACAAAAGAAACGCGAATACCACTCTTGTTGGTTGATATATGAAGAATTACTCATATTTAAGATATATTAGATTGGTTCGATTTACAAACGAACATACCGTTACGTTGTGTGAAGCGATACTCATGACCGCATCACATGTGACGTCATGTTCAGGATGTCTCGTGCAGGATTAGCGTCTATGTTCATGTAAGTCGTTTCCTTTCTGTTCTCGCTTTCATTTCATTTGAGAGGAGTATTTTATAGTTTCACTTCTTATCAACAGCAGTGTTTGAAAAAAAGTTGGTAATCTATTTTAAATCTGGCGTTCATCTCTCTCTCTCTCTATATATATATATCCCTTTCTCTCTGTCATGCTTGTCAGAATGAAGGCAAAATGTTTCTCGTGTATGTTGTACGCAGAGCAAACTAATAGGAAGTGATCTTCAACCTCAATTTTTGCATCATTGCAGCCTTTACATAATCGACCACTTTGCGGTACATTGACATATCTACCAGATGTAATATGCACTTGATGTGAACAACATCGACATTGTGCTGGGGTCACTTTGAATGTTTTGATAGATACACATTTTCTGGTACAGCTCTCTTCAAAAAGGTAACTTTAAACAGTAAATATGATGATGTTGCGAATATGATTGCGCAGCACATTGCACACCACATTGCAAAACACATTGCACAACGCATTGCACAGCACATTGCACAACATATTGCACAACACATAGCACAAACATTACATAGCACCTTGCGATAGTTCTGAACTAAGAATACATTAGTTAACAACTGTTTAAAAGAAAATATTTTATTGAGCTTCTAGCTAGGCTACAATAAGTGATACAATTTATGAATATTCCCCTTCTATAAATGCACAAATATTGAAAAGCATTCCAAAAATAACATTCACTTGGTAGGCATTTTCATGGTATTTTAAAATGGTTCAACTAATATCTAAGAGCATTTGGTATACGAGTAATACTGTACATCTTGAAATAATTGCGACTGTGAAAAATGCCAGTGGCCTTTGCTTCTATTAGTTAAACAGCGCATGTGTATCTCAAAATGACTAGCAACAACAAGTATAACATAGAACATTGTACACCCTCTCTGTACATTACCCCAAGACATATTTTACATGCACATAAGTGAACCGATCGAACAGCACACAAATAGTTCAAAACACACATTTTTGCCTCACAGACCGAAAGAATGTGTTATGCCAAATGTGTGGTGAGGTGCAGTGACATTGGGTTTAACGACGCGTTCACTTATATGGCGACGTGCATGATCTTGTGTGGCTACTTGTACTAGTCCAGATTTCACAGTGCTAGCCCACTGAGATACCATGCCGCATAGCAAATTGAATGCCCTACTCAGTATACTGACTCCGAGCCGACCAGTCCTTGTTTTAGCCCCTTAAAGCCGAGCGCCAGACAGGGTAACAACAAGTACAATCTTTCAACGTCTTTTGGTATGACGCGGCTGGGGATCGAATCCCCCACCTTCTGATCTCCGGGCAGACGCTCTACCACTAGACAATAGAGCCAGTCTCCAAACTGGAGAGTGTTACCCTCTCTCTCTCTCTCTCATTCTTGTCTTTTCACTCTTGTGAGTATCCTCAGTAAGACATGTTTCGCTACACTAATTTTTCAGTTCTCGGTATATCACATCAATGAAAAGCGACCCAGAAGGGCATTATGTATCGACATAGCAAATATATTTGGGGTATTTCTTTTTAGACACTCGTCTCTTGGCGTACTTGTAATACAGGTGCAGCGTTGTATTCGTCATGTCCAAAGATATCAGGCTACATTGTGTGAACAAAGTGACATCTGCTTTTTCTCTCCCTTCCCTTGTCTCCCTCTGTCTCTCCAAATAGATCTTCTTTCACACACACACACGCGCACACAAGTACAATATATATATCTACCTGTCGCTCCTCTTTCTCTAGTCACGACACTCACACAAACACACGCACACAAGTACAATATATATATCTACCTGTCGCTCCTCTTTCTCTAGTCACGACACTCACACACACACACGCACACAAATACTATATATATCTACCTGTCGCTCCTCTTTCTCTAGTCACGACACTCACACACACACACGTGCACACAAGTACAATATACATATCTACCTGTCGCTCCTCTTTCTCTAGTCACGACACTCACACACACACACACACACGCACACAAGTACAATATATATATCTACCTGTCGCTCCTCTTTCTCTAGTCACGACACTGACACACACACACACACGCGCACACAAGTACAATATATATATCTACCTGTCACTCCTCTTTCTCTAGTCACGACACTCACACACACACACGCACACAAGTACAATATATATATCTACCTGTCGCTCCTCTTTCTCTAGTCACGACACTCACACACACACACGCACACAAATACAATATATATATCTACCTGTCGCTCCTCTTTCTCTAGTCACGACACTCACACACACACACGTGCACACAAGTACAATATACATATCTACCTGTCGCTCCTCTTTCTCTAGTCACGACACTCACACACACACACACACACGCACACAAGTACAATATATATATCTACCTGTCGCTCCTCTTTCTCTAGTCACGACACTGACACACACACACACACGCGCACACAAGTACAATATATATATCTACCTGTCACTCCTCTTTCTCTAGTCACGACACTCACACACACACACGCACACAAGTACAATATATATATCTACCTGTCGCTCCTCTTTCTCTAGTCACGACACTCACACACACACACGCACACAAGTACAATATATATATCTACCTGTCGCTCCTCTTTCTCTAGTCACGACACTCACACACACACACGCGCACACAAGTACTATATATATCCACCCGTCGCTCCTCTTTCTCTAGTCACGACACTCACACACACACGCGCACACCAGTACAATATATATCTACCCGTCGCTCCTCTTTCTCTAGTCACGACACTCACACAGTTATAACATTGTATCTTGAATGGTATGAATACGTAAACACGTTGAAGAGCATCATAATAATCATATCATAGCATTCAAATTCATCAGCATCAACTAATGAAACTGATAATGGAAAAATAAGACACGCCTATCTACATCATAATGAGTACACACTCATTCAAACTTCAAACATTACTGCAACGTCGAAAGTCGGTGATATATATAACTTCCTGTTCAGAACCTGTATACCGGTAACGTGGTTATATTCTACTTTTGTTGTTTCTTTGCCTCAGAAATGTATTGCTGTATATATTATTGTAGACTTCTAACGACTCAATGTCTTAGTATTTCATCAAATACATTTATACATTGGCATCCTTCTCCTGCACAAATTCACATTCATTATTTAGTCATACTTGATTACGTTTTCCTTGCACAGACAGTTTGGTTATGTTTTCAGCTGATCATAATACATGTGATCTATACCCGGCACTACTCTCAATACTTGTGATTGTTATAAAACAGCTTTCTTTGATATGCTTAAAACATCATTTGATGACATGCTAGGAAAATATATTTCCTGTTTGCTGCTACTCAAAACAAACCTGTCTAACTCACCTTATCCACACAAACACATATATTTTAACTAGATGAAGTACTCGTAACTTCTCGTAGAATTCAATGCATTAAATAATATATCAAACTTAACACAATGCTTAAACATATCTAATGAAGTGGCCAACAAATGTGAAAACCACATATCCCGAATCCGACTCACATCGTCCATTCAGGACGTCTATAACTAAAACAGAACACAAATCAAATATTTACATCTGTACCAGCAGGATATTTGCAAGCGGTACTGAAACATCCGACTCACTTCCACTTTTGCGTTACATTCACCGTCAAGAGGGTTGAAACATCGCCTATTTGATCAAGACTTTTAGTATATCTAGGAAATCATCAACAATATGCCATGTCCATATCATTCGTGTTTGCTATACCAGATTATGTTTATTTGTTGTTTAACGCCACAATAAGCAATAACCCAGCTGGTGGTCTGTATATTATCGAGTTTGAGCCACACAATCCTGTGATTGCATTATAAACATCTATCTATGCAACTGGGACACGATGACATGCATCAACCAAGTGACCGAACCTGACCATCCGATCCGGTTGGTCAACGGACAAGCATGAGTTGCTGAAGACGAATTCTAAACCAGATTTTTACAGGGTTGTACCTGACAGATCGTTTATTACATTACGCATCATTTAGTAAGGTGAATAGACACTTATTTAGTGTAAATACAGATCATTAGCTTGTATATCTGTATTTATGATGTGGATTGACTGAGAGATAGGGTCTAGTCACACATCATAAGTTAAACATGCTGACAGAATATTAACACTGGTAGAGTACCAGGTAGTTAGTAAGACGTTTGAAATACGGGTATGGGCCATGGGTAGTGACTGACCGTGCAAGATGCGGATCATAGATACAAGAATCTTCACGTAGGACAGACTGTATCATTTCCAATTTTAAGCTTCCGCACGTAGGAATGTCTTTAAAGGCGTTTTAGTTTGATATATTGGAAAGGTAACCTTGCTTCATATAAGGAGGTGTAAAGGTTATGTTATTGAAATTAACAGCATATTTGTTTTCTTTCGTATGATCAATGTTTCAACATAACACATCCATTGACAATAGTCATGCCTAGTAACAGGTGACAACTCCCAAAACAATGTCAAAATTGGGTGTGACCACCATTTGCATTGATAAAGGCGAGGCAGAGGCGGTGCATTGACGACACCAGATGATTGAAAGCAGCCTTTTGGATGCTGTTTCAAATATCAACCAAAGATTGGTCCAGCTAAGCTAGCGTTATCGACCTACTCTGGTCCTGTCGTAGGCATCGTTTCATCCCATGCATGCCCTATGTGGAAAAGGTCTGGGGAAACAGCCAGCCATGGCAAAATGTAAATGTTTCGTTACCGCCAAAAGCCTGTTACAACAAGTACAACATGTGGGCGGGCGTTACGCTGCTACAACGTGACGTTCCGTCCCAGGGCAGAACATGATCTCTAATGCTGTCGTCCGGCATGCATATAACAATGATGAGTTATGTTCTCCCATATGTTGTGAAGCAGCTCAATTCTATTACACTTCCACCCAAAACTGACCCGATTGAGTAACGCAAGCATCATTGAAACATTCTCCTGGACTTAAATATTCCCTTGCACAACTGCCTGAGCTGCCCAGGTGATACCTTGACTCATCAATGAACAGTATACGATAACAGTACAGTTATACATTTCCGATTTGATTTCTGACACAAATTAATCTCAATCAAGGAGTTGTGACGCACCAAGCGTCTTGTTTGTCTTGTTGACGTGACGTCACGCGGTGGCAGCTGATCCGTGACACGTCACGACTGTTTCCCTGCTGTAGATAACGTCTCGAAAAAGATGATATTGAGTTTCGACAAACATTAACATGTCTTGTAGCTTGGTTTTGTGCTATCCCTGTTCGCTGTAAACCCATAGCCCTTAGACGTTGATTTTCAGCCCTTCCTGGTAGTACATAAGCGTTATTTACGGTAAAACAAAAGTATTTCATGAACATTCACTGTGTTCTATTCACATAAATAAAACCTGTGTAAGTTTATGCCCCCGACAAACATGCAATCATCCAAATTGTAAATTGTGAATCACGACCTTTAGGTCGAGATGAATATATATTGAAAAATGCATTTTTTTATTTCAGAATATATCTACTTTTATTGAACTTTATATGAAGCAAAGTTTATGTTTCCGTTCGAATTGTGGAGATGAGGCCTTCAGTAAGGGTCAAAAGTAACTCCACTTAGCACAATCAATTATTTTAAGGTAACCACGTTTCAAGAAACATCTTTTTTAAAGAGACACACATGAAATTGAACATATTTGTTTTGCGAAAGAATTGCAGAAAAGTGCATGGAGCTTGATCATATGCCTGCTGTCTATACACTGTCTAGGCACAATTTTCATTGATGTCATCAGTGTGAGGTTATGCCATGGGTCTGTCCCTGTTCTTCCCTTTTGTTATTGCAAAGTTTTTACACCATGGGATAGTAATGTTCTGAAGATGTAACTTCAATATAAGTGACGTAAGTCTCCAATACTTTGCTAAGATTTAATGTTAAAGGGATATTTTCATTTCAGTTATCTTTCTCCAGGTGTGTGATAATTTCTTTGTTTTTCCCACGCCGAGCCAGGGTGAGGATATCCTCTCCTGTGCTTGACTCCACAAAGAGACCTGCCTTTTGAGCCACCAGTAGCTGGAAGATATCAGCATGTCCACACACAGCAGCCATCATCACCGGTGTCCAGCCATAGCGACCTTGGACATCGATGTCATAGGATGGGAGCAGATACTCCACACACCGTTTGTTGCCTCCTCGACAGGCGAGGTGTAGTAAACTGTCTCCATCCTGATCTGTCTGAACCAGGTCAGGACTCCCTCGACTGTAGGTCTTCAGGAAAACTACTTCCCCCCTGACCATGGTCTTCATTAGCTCATTCCACGGTGCCACTTGCTTGACTTGTTTTCTGTTCATTTGTTTAATGATTTGTCTGTTACCGAGTTTCAGGGCGAGAGTAAGGGCATCGTCTCCCGTGTTGTCAACTAAAGTCAAATCCGTGCCTCTATTTGTCAGGTATTTGACTACTGCAGCTTTTCTGTGCAGTACACCAGTCATGACATGTGTGAGGCCCATATTGTCCTTTGAGTTGACAACAAAATCAGCTATGATATGTTTCAACATTGCAAGCTGTCCGTGATGACATGCAAGATGTAGTAGAGTGTGTCCGTCATTGTCCACCAGAGTACGGTCAGCACCACAGGACATCAAGTATCTGTACACAGCAATGTAGCCTCCACAGACTGCTCGCATCAGAGGAGTCTCGCCATTCCTTCCCCTGGTGTTGATGTAAAAGCTGTCAATCACCTCCTTCACAATGGCTAGATTACCTCCTAGACAGGCTGCATGAAGAACATTATCATTTTCAGAGGCAGTTAATGATTGATTACCCCCTTTTCTTGCAATCAGATCATAAGCTTCCTTCTTCCCACTGAGAGCTCCAATCATTAATGGTGTCAATCCATCTTCTCCAGGACTGTTAATGTCAAACAGTGGTATGAGATGCTCTATGATGAACGTATTTCCACCCTGGCATGCAAGATGAAGAATGTTGTTTTTGTTGTCATCAGTCAATGTGAGATCAGCTTCCTTTGAAATCAGAAGGTCAAACACATCTTTATTCCCTGCCACAGCTGCAGCCATGACTGGAGTCCGGCCATTCTTTCCCCGAATGTTAACATCTATTCTCAACAGAAGTGATTGTACAATGGATATATTTCCGCCTTCACATGCCAAGTGAAGTATTGTGTCACGATATACATTGTATACGGACATGGAATCTTGTTTTGAAGAAAGAAGTTCAAATGCATCTTTCTTTCCAGACCAGACTGCAGACATCACGGTTGTGAAATCGTTTTTTCCACGACAATTTATGTCAAACTGTTTCTCTATCAAATATTCAACAATGGAGCAGTTTCCTCCCTGACTGGCAAGGTGAAGTATAGTATCATTGTTATCATCAACTGTTTTGAGATCAACTTTCTTTGACACAAGAAGTTTGAAAACATCAGCATTGCCTGCCCAAGCAGACTTCATGATTCCTGTTCTCCCAAGGTTTCCCTGGCTGTTCTTATCAGCTTTTTGCAGTAGATCTTTCACTATGGTTCTGTTTCCTCCGATACATCCCAAATGAAATACAGAGTTGCTGTAGTCATCTTCCAGGGAGAGATCAGACCCCCTTGACACAAGCAGGCGGAACACATCGCTGTCTCCATTGACAGCGGCATACATCACTGGCGTCCAGCCATTTCCTCCACGACTGTTGATGTTAAACTGTGGGAGTAGGTATTTCACAATGGAGGCATTTCCACCGTGACATGCAAGATGGAGGAGATTGTTACCAATGTCATCAGTCAGTTCAAGATTCACTTTCTCTTCCACAAGCAGGTCAAATACATCCTTCCTTCCATTCACAGCTGCCTTCATCACCGGAGTCCAGCCGTGTTTTCCCGGCCTATTGATGTCAAGGTGTGTAAGTAGATGCTCTAAAATAGATGTATCGTCCGACTGGCAAGCCACATGAAGGAGGCTGTTGTTGTCATCATCAGTCAGGTTGATGTCGGCCTTTCTTGACAAAAGAAGGTCAAACGTGTTCTTCTTTCCAGATGATGCAGAACACATTATGGGGGTCTGGCCATGTTTACCAGAGGCATTAATATCCGTTAATTGCAGTAGGCATTCCACAATGGAATTAATTCCACACTCACATGCCAGATGAAGCGCATTCCTGGTATTTGTATCTCTTAATCTTTTGTCAGCTTTGTATTTTAAAAGAACATCCAAAACATCCTTCTTCCCAGCAAACACTGCACACACAAGTGGTGTCCAGCCATGCATTCCTCGAGTGTGGATGTCAAATTTATGTTCTTTAAGTAGATATTCTACACTGGCAGTTGTTCCATTCTCAATGGCCAAATGTAATAGGCTGTTGTTGTTGCTGTCACATAGTTCTACATCAGCGTTGTGTTTCACCAGGAGTTTCAGGCTACCCACCTGTCCAGAGACAACTGCGTACATAACTGGCGTCCAGCCATTCAAGCCACGACTATTGATGTCACAGTGAGGAACAAGTTGCTTCAGGATATTCTTGTTCCCAGTGAAGCATGCATAATGGAAGATGTTGTGCATGTCATCATGAGACAGAGAAGTGGGATCTTTAATCATTAGAGACAATTTGTTAACTATCTCTTTCCTTTTACATATGGGATGCATGATGTATTCACTTAGAGCCCCACTGGCAATAGAATCAGCCATTCTGTCATCAATGGTTTCACTGTAGGCCTCCGAGAAAGGAATGCTGAGCTGGTGTTCTTTGATGGGAGCAATGTCTGCTTGCTGATCCTGTACATGCTCAAAGAGGAACTTAATAATGCAATGTTTACAGATAAATTTTGGATCAATACTGAATAAGACAGAGGCACAGACATCATAAATCATCGAATGGGAAAATGATATTAAGTTTCCTTCTGTCAAAAGCGAACCACATAAACTTCTGACAGCCACAGCTACATCTTGTCTGGTTGATGTCTTCACAAAGGACAGAGCTGCCTTGATGTGGGCCTCCAGGTCTGGGTTGTCAGATTCAGTCTCCAGCTGACTGAGGTTCAGCTGCCCGTCACACAGTAGCACTAGGATTAGGGCAGCTGACTGGTTATCCAATCGACTTATAACCGTGTTGAATTCAAGTTTTAGACATGATACGGGATTTTCAAAAAAACGCTGTTGGTGTTTTTGAAAGGCAGCACAACTGGAGAACAATTTGCATACAAGAGGAAATCCAACAGTTTGTTTATCACATGCACCAAGTTCCATCTCATCGACGTTTGCTTTGCATTTGTAATGGTGTTTATGTTTCATCCATATTTCTTTCTTCTCCTCCGGTGTGTAAGACAATAATGCTTCCGCAGAGTTATTGAACAAACAAATTGGATGACCTTCAAGTTTTAACATTGCATGTTCTAGGGCGGAGGTTTCTGTTGTGAATATGAGGTACATGTCTGACTGATTGTCTCTTCTTTCTTCCTCTCTCGACTCCTTCTGCATACTCTCATATCGTCTCTCAGACCTGTCCTTGCACTGTGCTAGGTACAGATGGAGGTCATACAGAAGGTGTTTAAAACGAGGCACATCCATATGGGACCCTGCCTTCTGAAATATGTCATCAAATATCACACATACATCATGGCCTTGCCAGTCAGACAAGTTTACTTGTGAAAGATCATCAACCAGTACCAGCTCATAGCCCTGCTTCCTGTATTCAGCTCCCAGCATCAGGGCCATGGATGTTTTACCTTCACCCGGAGCACCACTGATGGTCACATGATGGAACGTCGCCAACATTTCTCTCACTTTCTTAAAGTTTTCAGTTTCCACAAACAATGTTCGTGTATTGTTTATCTCTCGGTCAATTGGATCTGTACAGGAAGAAACACGATTATGAAAAGAAAATTGAAATGTAAATAATAGACATCAAGTAAGTGAGATTATTATATCAATGTTATTTATATTGTCATCACATTTTATATCACATTTGATTTGGATATATGTACGTTGTTCAATACAATTGTTATAATTCATGCTACAGTGTGAAAAGCAGTGTGTATGTACCTGACTCAATGCGTTGTTCTTCCAGACCATGTCCCAATTCTGGTAAAAAAATAAGACCCACAACTGTCATACCCACTCATGTACAGTTCAGAAAAAAAAATGTGGTGATGTATGACTTCAGAATGTCCCTGTCAAAATATACACTTAAAGCAAAAAGAGGACCATGTACGTATATATAGCGCTACACACGTATGTGGGGTGTCATTGTTGGTTTTGTCACTTTCACGGAAGGTGGATTGATCTCCGTGAACAATTATGTCTGTCGATCTTATTGTTTCTGCCTATGATACAGTTTTGGTCTACTTAATTCAAATCATTGTTTGTTTATGAACAAGTGATACGAGTTAATGACATTCAGCAATCTGCCAGACGCCAAGACACGTTCTATGTAAAACCAACTTCTTTTTATTATTCTTTGTAGTTTCTGCTACCTTTATCAAGCAAGTGATTAATATCAAGGTGAAATATGATATAATTAATACTCACTGCTAAAGGCCGCTCCACTTCTTTCCATTAAGGGAACTAAAACATAGAAGATGTCCAGATCAGATAAAAATATATACCTTTACTGAACAACCTGAAGTTGAATACGAGATGTTATCCAGTAAAAAATATGAGCACATTATTAACTACTATATATCCAGGTAATATACAATGCATTGACGAATAACAAGGTTATACACCAGGTGTATCCCCAAAGCCACTGTAGTCATTAAGTTCAATTTGATGTTGAATCATTCATTTTGGTGATCCATTCATACATGGTAAAGCGTCGGTGGTCCAACAGAAGGTCGGTGGTACGATCCCTGTCCTAGTGATAACGAAACTGTGTTAAAAGATAGTACTTGCGTTACTCTGCCTGGCGCTAGACTCTGAGGGCAGACTACTCGGATCAGTATAAGGGCACCTGAATGTGGTATTCATGTTAACACTGCAGCATTGTATCTTAGTGGGCCAGAACTATAACCTCCTTCTGATTTCTGACCGTTAGACGGACGTAAGAATGCACGTGAATGTACGTCTCTACATAAGTGTAACAATCTAAATTGCGACGTTCAATCCCCAGTTCACCTCACTTTCAAAATAGCAAAGGCATCAGTTAACATATATAAAAGCAGATCTATGCCATAAAGTTACCAATGTGAAACCGCATCAGTAAACACGTAAAAGTGCCACTAACACTTACATGACCAATGTGACACAACAAGAGTATAAGTACCCAAAAAAGTAATGTTTTCCTTGTATTCATCACACTGAAAGTGTATCAGTGTACACGTAAAAGTAGCACTATCACTTATAGTCATTAATCTGAAACAAAGTAATGCATAGGAACTAAATGCCAAGGGATATTTTTCATTACTTCGAAATGATCACATGATACCTGTGTGCAATACGAATACCTCTGCTAAAACGTGTTTGCATATGGCACATAATATGTTTTAATAGCATCAGTCTCTGGTATCTAAGTTTGGCTTCATGCTGCCATCTAACCCAACACCTCTAACACAAGGTGCATCTAGTCTCAACGTACATATTCGCTGCTAAAGGATCAGATCAAGTCAGAGGGTCGTAGGATATGCAATATAATTTCAAGGTTACAATATAACTGCACGCCAGATAACCAATAACTGTCGGGAGGGACGTAACTCTTATATTTGAAAAAGTACACCCATTGTACATTTAAGCAAAAGTCAAGTTACTTTAATATACTTACTGTCTTCCGGGGACCTGTAAATATAAAAAAAGTTCCCAACTACAATGGATACTACAATGGATGGATGACACTTATGTTAAACATACAATCCGTGAAGTAAAACATAATATCAGGGAATACTGGTCTCTTATCCCAGCCTCATATTATGATGATGCATACCATGAACGACGTGAGCTGCATGTTATATCAGAAACTAAAAGATTATGTAGATATGAAAGTAAAGACATTTTAGCCTTCGTGACGTGATATCTTTGCAAAATCATTGGTCTTGGTATTACCTTCCATCGCCGTTTTTTCTTCCCTTTTTCCGTTTTATCCTGCAAAGAATTAAAATTATTAGAGCAGTTGAAATTCATTTTTTAACGATGAATGAAGTGCTTAAATCTTTGCTTGTAGGTGTGATATTTGTAAAAAATCAAGAACACTGAATATTCCCTTCATTAATGGAACAATTGTCTCGTATAATACCAACGGATGGGAATGAAATTTCGACCGTGGAGATCCGGGTAAAGTGTATCTCGTGAATAGCCACACCGTTATTTATGGATGCGTTATTCTGTCAGGTCTACACTCACACTATAAATGCCACCACTACGACTGTGACGAGGCAGATTATGATGATGATGATGATGGGGACAATAATCACGACTAGGTCTGTTTGTTTCCCAGGCCTAGGGGTAGATCCCCGTGGTGTTGAGGCATCTGTCGGTGACGTTGAGTGCGTTGAGACCACTACTTATGAAAAAGAAAGAACTTACAAATCTTAGGTCAATCAAATATTATTATTATTATGAAACAATATTTTAAATAGCCAGCATGTTAATCGAAGCATTTTGTAAATGTGTTCAAAGCCGGAGTATTGCTTTCAAGTTCTTTTTTGAACATATGCCAACCCCTGTCTAATGTTAAATTTGATTTGTACTTATTTGTGACCGGCAGCTCATTTATTAATTCATATTTCCTTGTCAAACTGTATTATCAAAAGAAAACATTCATATAATGGTATAGGTGACCTGTCGTCCAAGGCATCTTCCGGAGGCTTCACAGAAAACTATGATAGTTGAACCCTTGTGTATATTTCTAGTTTTGACAGTACCATGCTCATGCTCAAAGTTTTCACCAAGGTGATGGGCGTATCCACATCAAGCTGACACGCCGTGATATAACTGTAATAATGTTCACAGCAAACATCAAACCAAACTCGCTAACTTTTAAGAACATGCAAGTCCTGAATGACACAGTAGACATTCCTACCTGTTGTGATGTTGCAGAAGTCTCCTCTGTAGGTTCCATCACAGCCAAAAGTACACAGACCGTTCTGCTGGTTGCATGTGTTCTTTTCGCAGTGGCTGCTACAAGGTAGATCACACATATCGCCATGCCACCCACGCATGCATCCCTCAGAACACTTCCCAGTCAACTTGTGGCAGTGCTGGAGTTTCCTGGCTTCATTGACAATACAATGTTCAGGACAGGCTTTTTCGCACCGTTCTCCATATCTTCCCCATTCACAATTCGTCTGTCCATACACTTGTGATGCTGAAACTACATAGGGAAGAAATGACTTTAATCTTTAACATTCGACTCACTGTTAAGAAATACTTCGTAAAATATATGAAATAAGGTTCGTTTGTTTGTTCGTTTCTTTGCTGCTTTCATGGCGGTCTGTAAATAATCGAGTCTGGACCAGACAATCCAGTGATTGACATAGTGACCCTTAAGTGAGATACGATGACATGTATCATCCAAGACAGCAAGCCTGACCTCCCCATCTCGTCTGCCGCCACTTACGGCAAACATTGGTTGCTGAAGACCTATTTTACCCCGGATCTTCACGGGTTTATAAATATAGGCGTCCTAATCAATGTACCAATGTCATGGAGGAGAATGATGAAACTTAGATCGTAGTTAAAGTGCAAAAGAGAACCTTATACTGTGATGGACATCGTGAACTATTACAACACACAAGGAAATGACCAGAGAGAAACATGGAGAATACTTGTCAGGCAGGGTTTCATCGTGATACAGTTGTTGTAACCCCTTCCATATTACCAGCAGAGCTTCAGAATTACCTCGCGTGAATGACAATAGAATGATTTACCATTTGTTTAATTTTGGCAGATAATCCTACATATCCTAGTGAGTGAGTGAGTGAGATGGATGGGTTTAACGCCGTTTTTAGCAGTATTCCAGTAATATCGTGTCAGCTTAATATAGTAGGAAAGCGTGAAGTTATGCGGGTCTCAGACGTTAACCACTTCGGTGAAATCCGATATGTAACCAAGGTGTGACGCCTGTACTCCAACACACTGTACCCGAGGTGTGACGCCTGTACTCCTACACACTGTACCCGAGATGTGAGGCCTGTACTCCTACACACTGTACCCGAGGTGTGAGGCCTGTACTCCTACACACTGTACCAGAGGTGTGAGGCCTGCACTCCAACACACCGTACCCGAGGTGGTTAGCCTGTTCTCCTACACACTGTTCCGTTGTGTGAGCCCTGTACTCCTACACACTGTACCCGAGGTGTGAGGCCTGCACTCCAACACACCGTACCCGAGGTGGTTAGCCTGTACTCCTACACACTGTACCAGAGGTGTGAGGCCTGCACTCCAACACACCGTACCCGAGGTGGTTAGCCTGTACTCCTACACACTGTACCAGAGGTGTGAGGCCTGCACTCCAACACACCGTACCCGAGGTGGTTAGCCTGTACTCCTACACACTGTTCCGTTGTGTGAGCCCTGTACTCCTACACACTGTACCCGAGGTGTGAGGCCTGTACTCATACACACTGTACCCGAGGTGTGAGGCCTGTACTCCTACACACTGTATCCGAGGTGTGAGGCCTGTACTCCTACACACTGTTCCGTTGTGTGAGCCCTGTGCTCCTACACACTGTATCCGAGGTGTGAGGCCTGTAATCCTACACACTGTACCCGAGGTGTGAGGCCTGTACTTCTACAGACAGTACCCAAGGTATTAGGTATGTCCTCCTACACATTGTACCCGGGGTGTGAGGCCTGTACTACACACTGTTCCGTTGTGTGAGCCCTGTACTCCTACAGACAGTACCCGAGGTGTGAGGCCTGTACTTCTACACACTGTACCCGAGGTGTGACGCCTGTACTCCTACACATTGTATCCGAGGTGTAAGGCCTGTGCTCCAAACACTGTACCCGAGGTGTGAGGCCTGTACTCCTACACACTGTACCTGAGGTGTGAGGCCTGTACTCCTACACACTGTACCCGAGGTGTTAGGTATGTCCTCCTACACACTGTACCCGAGGTGTAAGGCCTGAACTCCTACACACTGTTCCGTTGTGTGAGCCCTGTACTCCTACACACTGTACCCGATGTGTGAGGCCTGTACTCCTACACACTGTACCCAAGGTGTGAGGCCTGTACTCCTACACACTGTATCCGAGGGGTGAGGCCTGTACTCCTAAACACTGTTCCGTTGTGTGAGCCCTGTACTCCTACACACTGTAGCCGAGGTGTGCGGCCTGTACTCCTACACACTGTACCCGAGGTGTGACGCCTGTACTTCTACAGACAGTACCCGAGGTGTTAGGTATGTCCTCCTACACATTGTACCCGGGGTGTGAGGCCTGTACTTCTACAGACTGTACCCGAGGTGTGAGGCCTGTACTCCTACACACTGTACCCGAGGTGTTAGGTATGTCCTCCTACACACTGTACCCGAGGTGTAAGGCCTGTACTCCTACACACTGTACCCGAGGTGTGAGCCCTGTACTCCTACACACTGTACCCAAGGTGTGAGGCCTGTATTCCTACACAATGTATCCGAGGTGTGAGGCCTGTACTCCTACACACTGTTCCGTTGTGTGAGCCCTGTCCTCCTACACACTGTATCCGAGGTGTGAGGGCTCTACTCCTACACACTGTACCCGAGGTGTGACGCCTGTACTTCTACAGACAGTACCCGAGTTGTTAGGTATGTACTCCTACACACTGTATCCGAGTTGTGAGCCCTGTCCTCCTACACACTGTACCCGAGGTGTGACGCCTGTACTTCTACAGACAATACCCGAGGTGTTAGGTATGTCCTCCCACACATTGTACCCGGGGTGTGAGGCCTGTACTCCTAGACACTGTTCCGTTGTGTGAGCCATGTACTCCTACACTCTGTACCCGAGGTTCGACGCCTGTACTTCTACAGGCAGTACCAGAGGTGTTAGGTATGTCCTCCTACACATTGTACCCGGGGTGTGAGGCCTGTACTTCTACAAACTGTACCCGAGGTGTGAGGCCTGTACTCCTACACACTGTACCCGAGGTGTAAGGTATGTCCTCCTACACACTGTAACCGAGGTGTAAGGCCTGTACTCATACACACTGTTCCGTTGAGTGAGCCCTGTACTCCTACACACTGTACCCGATGTGTGAGGCCTGTACTCCTACACACTGTACCCAAGGTGTGAGGCCTGTACTCCTAAACACTGTACCCGAGGTGTGAATCAAGTACATGTACTTTTACACACTGTACCCGAGGTGTGAGGCCAGTACTTCTAAACACATTACCCGATATGTAAGGCGAGTACTTCTACAAACATTACCCGATATGTAAGGCCAGCACTTCTACACACAGTACCCGAGATGTAAGGCCAGCAATTTTACACACAGTACCCGAGATGTAAGGCGAATACTTTTACACACTGCACCCGATATGTAAGGCCAGTACTTCTACACACAGTACCCGAGATGTAAGGCCAGTACTTCTACACACTGTACCCGAGATGTAAGGCTTGTACTTCTACACACTGTACCCGAGATGTAAGGCCAGTACTTCTACACACTGTACCCGAGGTGTGAGGCCTGTACTCCTACACACTGTACCCGAGGTGTGAGGCCTGTACTCCTAAACACTGTACCAGAGGTGTGAATCAAGTACATGTACTTCTACACACTGTTCCAGAGGTGTAAGGCCAGTACTTCTACATCCTGTACCCGATATGTGAGGCCAGTACTTCTACACATTGTACCCGAGATGTGACGCCTGTACTCCTACACACTGTATCCGAGGTGTGAGGCGAGTACTTCTACACACTGTACCCGAGGTGTGAGGCCAGTACTTCTAAACACATTACCCGATATGTAAGGCGAGTACTTCTACACACAGTACTCGATATGTAAGGCTTGTACTTCTACACACATTACCCGATATGTAAGGCCAGCACTTCTACACACAGTACCCGAGATGTAAGGCCAGCACTTCTACACACAGTACCCGAGATGTAAGGCGAGTACTTCTACACACAGTACTCGATATGTAAGGCTTGTACTTCTACACACATTACCCGATATGTAAGGCCAGCACTTCTACACACAGTACCCGAGATGTAAGGCCAGTACTTCTACACACTGTACCCGAGATGTAAGGCTTGTACTTCTACACACTGTACACAGACTGTAAGGCCAGTACTTCTACACACTGTACCCGAGGTGTGAGACCAGTACTTCTACACAGAGTACCGGAGGTGTGAGACCAGTACTTCTACACACTGTACCCGAGGTGTGGTACTTCTACACACAGTACCCGAGAAGTAAGGCCAGTACTTTTACACACTGTACCCGATATGTAAGGCTTGTACTTCTACACACTGTACACAGAGTGTAAGGCCAGTACTTCTACACACTGTACCCGAGGTGTGAGGCAAGTACTTCTACACTGTACCCGAGGTGTGAGGCCAGTACTTCTACACACTGTACCCGAGGTGTGAGGGAAGTACTTCTACACACTGTACCCGAGGTGTGAGGCCAGTACCTCTACACACAGTGCCCGATATGTAAGGCTTGTACTTCTACACACTGTACACAGAGTGTAAGGCCAGTACTTCTACACACTGTAACCGAGGTGTGAGGCCAGTACTTCTACACACAGTACCCGAGGTGTGAGGCTTGTTCTTCTACACACTGTACCCGAGGTGTGAGGCCAGTACTTCTACATACTGTACACAGGGTGTAAGGCCATTACTTCTACACACAGTACCCGAGGTGTGAGGCTTGTTCTTCTACACACTGTACCCGAGGTGTGAGGCTTGTTCTTCTATACACTGTACCTGAGGTGTGAGGCCAGTACTTCCACACACTGTACCCGAGATGTGAGGCCAGGACTTCTACACAATGTACCTGATATGTAAGGCGAGTACTCCTACACACAGTACTCGAGATGTAAGGCGAATACTTCTACACACTGTACCTGAGGTGTGAGGCCAGTTTTTCTACACACTGTACCCGAGGTGTAAGGCTTGTACTTCTACACACTGTACACAGGGTGTAAGGCCATTACTTCTACACACAGTACCCGATGTGTAAGGCCAGTACTTCTACACACTGTACCCGAGGTGTGGTACTTCTGCACACAGTACCCGAGAAGTAAGGCCAGTACTTTTACACACTGTACCCGATATGTAAGGCGAGTACTTCTACACACTGTACACAGGGTGTAAGGCCAGTACTTCTACACACTGTACCCGAGGTGTGAGGCCTGTACTCCTACACACTGTACCCGAGGTGTG